TATCTATCTATCTATCTATCTATCTATCTATCTATCTATCTATCTATATCTAGATCCATGTAGACTGGTCCCAAAGGACATCTGGATCCATGTAGACTGGTCTTAAAGGACATCTGGATCCATGTAAACTGGTCCCAAGGGACATCTGGATCCATGTAAACTGGTCCCAAGGGACATCTGGATCCATGTAAACTGGTCCCAAAAGACATCTGGACCATGTAGACTGGTCCTAAAGGACATCTGGATTCAGGGATCTCACTGGGTTTAGATGGTTCAGGTCTCAGTACTTAGACTGTCTTCCTCTCTTTAAACCTCTCTTGTGTATAAAATGTGGCAGAAAAGTTTTGTATTCTGCTGCATGAAGGACGACTCTACACATGTGAGTTGTGTGTGTTCTTTGTGACGTGAGGAATTTTATTCAGTGCAGTGATAGTTTTCACACGTCTGCAGCCACGCCCTGCAGACAGTCGGCTGCTCTGCTCCAGCTGTCCTCTGAGTCCAACGGGCGTCTCTGTTTGTCCTTCACTCTCGTCATAGCTTCAGGCTGCTCTCACCTCCTGCACACTCCATCAGTTCTGACAAGACAGAAGGCTGAGGCGGGATTTTTAATGTCCTGCCGTCCTCAGGAAGACCTCATCCAGGTGGCTGCTTCTGGTTGTTGTTTCAAAACATTTAATTTATATTTTCTCAAATAAATAAATTCTGAACTTTTTATATCCTTCAGAAACTTTGTTCTTTTTAAAATCTGCTACAGATGTTGTCTCTGACTCAGTCTCCTTCAGCTACTTTTAGCTTGTAGCTAATCTTTTGCTACTTTTAACTTGTAGCTAATCTTTTGCTACTTTTACCTTGTAGCTAATTTTTGCACCTTGAGATCCTGCACCACAAATAGGATCAAAGACCCAGAACAGTCCTGGAGGAGTCCAACCTGCACTGAGATGGAGCTGGACTTTGTGCCGAGGATGCAGACACAGCTCCAGGTTTGGTTCTGCAGGGACCGGGTAAACCTTAAGCACCCCATACTCTCGCAGCAGCCCTAAGAGAAAGCATCAGGGACCACAATCTTATGTTTTCTCCAGGTCCACAAAACACATGTAGACTGGAGAGGCAAACAGCCAGGACACCATAACAACCCTGCAGGGGTGAGGATCTGGTCCACTGGTCCAGGACCAGGTCTGTGTCCACCCTGCTCCTCCTGTTTCTGAATCTTAAACCTGCAGTGAGATAATCGTTTTCAGTTCAGCCCACAGGCTGATGTATTTGATGAATAACTTGTTTCTGTTGCAGAAAATAAACTTTACTTCCTTCATCACGGTTGTTCTCTCTGACTGATCTCAGGCTGAATAACGTCAGAGTTTTAATCTGTGACGGTTGAAGAGTTTTTCTGCAGACGTTCTCACACTCAGTGTTGTCTTTGGCTCCAGAACCAACACTTCATTTCCTTTTGTCTTCTGCAGCCAAACTGCTGCCAAAATTCATCTGAAATATTTAATCAATGACCAGCCCCTCCCCTGCTCCAATATGTATGTATGTGTGTGTGTGCACGCGCATGCGTGGGTGGGTGGGAGGGGGGGTGTACCACGACCCTGGGGTGGTGAAAACCTTCTATAAACTGGGGAGGATTGAATATCCATTATCAAAAACTTACACTTTACACAAAAGTCTCGGCTGCAGCAC